CGCGCGCAGGCTGCTTGCCGCGAAGTCGCCTGCCGACGTCGCTCATGCTGAGGCCGCTGTCCTCGCCGGCTGCCGGGCCCGCTCCGGCACCATGCCCCTCCTGGCCCTGACGGCTGCGCCGCGGCAGGGCTGGGCGACTCAGCAGAGCAGGCAGGCCCTCCGGGCGCCGGCGCTCCCTGGAGCCTCGGTGGAGGCGGGTGCGAGAAGAGCGAATTTGACGTCTCGAACTCCTGCTTCGTCACCCCGTGCTTCGTGGTCCTGTAGTCCACGAGCGCCGCCGAGCTGACGACGTCCGCGATGCCGAGGAAGATGCGGTCCGCGGCCCTCGGCGCGAAGGCGAAGGATGGCGTCTGCTTGATCTCCCAGGTCACCGCGGCGCAGAGGGCCAGACAGCTCGCTGGCCTCCCCTGCGCTCCCCTGCGCTGCAGCGCCGCGGCGTGCTGGACGGCAGCTGGCCACAGCTGTTCGCGATCGGCGGGCGGAAGTGCCATGAGCATAGCGCGCGCCCGCTGCTTGCCCAGCCCAATCCCTCGCTCAGCACGGGGATTGTTATCTGGCTCGTATCCCAGGGTCGACGTCACCACGATCCCCTGGCAAGCGAGCCCCTCGCGGACCTTCGGGCCGGAGAACTCCCGAGCTCCGTCGGCATGCATTCTGAACATTGCCTTGCACTGCCGCCGACTTGGGCGGCAACGGCCACATAAAAATACCACGTGCGTCTGCCCGCCTCCCAGTCGCTGGGCAAGTCGACCAAGAGCACGTCGCCCTCGAACCGCTCGACTGGGACTGCGCTTTCCCAAGGGGCCGCGACCTCGACGAGTCCAGCATGGGCTGGTCTGAGTGGTGCGCCGAGTCCGGACGGGGCGCCGAGGTCCAGCCGCTCGCTGCCTTGAAAGCCGCCATGGAACGGGAACTAGCGGAGTACTGGCCCTCCGTGGAATTCCGGGCACCTCCAGTGCCGACCGCGCGGGAACCTGGGGCTCAGACTCCAGCTGACTATGTCAGTGCAGATGCCTACCCTGGAGCGCAGTCAGCCAAAGGTGAAAAGAGGCCCAACTCCGTGCGGCGTGAGTGCCGCCCCGCGGCAGCAAGAACGACCGACAACGTCGAAGGCATGGGCGAGGTGGCTGGGGGCGACGGTGAAGGAGCCAAGAGGCGAAGCAGTCGCGCGCCAGGCGATCAACAGGAATCTCGGCGTCGCCGAGCAGCAAGCCCGACGCAATGGGATCTGCATCCAAGATCGGGCGCTGCCTCATCGAGCTCTGCCATGGCGCTGGGGGCACCGGCCGAGAGAAATTCGCGGCAGAACGCGGATCTCGCTCCGCCATGGCGCGAAAATGCCGACACCTGACGGCGGCGCACGGACCCCGCGCCGCCATGGCGCGAGAACGCCGACAACGCGCGGCGGAACGCGGATTCCACTCCGCCATGGCGCGAGAACGCCGATAACTGGTGGTCGTCTTGGAGCCGGGGCTCAGGCGACTGGCGCGGCTACAGCAGCTGGGGCCGCGGCGACCAGAGCGGGGGCTGAGCGGAAGAGATGGAGGGGCGCTCGCAGCTATCCTGCGAGTGTCCCCTTGACGCGTCCGTACTATGCACCGAGCGTCTCGGAGCGTTGCGAGCCAGGTGGCGGGCGAGCTGCCTGCCGGGCGCGGCGCGACGGGCCGCAATATGAACGCAATTCGGGGCGTTGACAAATCGTGAACGTCCAACCTGGCGAGTGGAGCTCGCTGGGGAGGCCGCGGGGGGGGTTGATTTAGCCATCGCCCTTGCGTTGCCACCACATCGCTGCCCCGCCGCCGCCGGACATCGATGCTTACCGAAGCTGTTGTGGCTTCGGTCGCGTGAGTAGAAGAGTGCTTCGCCCGCCGCGCGTGCGTGCCCTCCCGGGCGCCCCCTCCCGGCCGGCCGGGCTTTCTGTGCTTGCCGTGACCTTAGCTAAGCTTAGCGGCGCACTCACTTGAGCAATGGCGGGAAGAAGTTCACCACCAAGTAGAGAAGATCCCCAATAATAGCAATAACCGCATGCCGATGATAATAAAGGGACCCCCCCTTCAGTGTTTAGAGTTGATTATCGTCGCCCTATACAAAATTCAAATTGGGCGGCGAGCGCTGAGGCCGAACTTCATTATCACCTCGAAACGCTATGTTGAGATAGCATTTTTCTTTTTATTTATATGTTTTTATTATCTTCCTTTTTATATATGTATCTATCCCCGCGCGCGCCTGAACTTTTTTATCTCTGGGGTTGATTATCCATGGAAAGGGGAGCACATGAGCTACCTGAGCACTTAAAAACATCAATTTTCATAAAGCGTTTGTAAATTAAAATGGATAGATTTGGAACTTTCCATTTTTCCGTTCTTCTTATCTTCTTCTTCTTCTCTTCTTCTTCTCTTTTTATTATTCTTATACTTTCTTCTTCTTATTTTATATTGCTATATGTCCTCACGCTCGCCTGAACTTTTTTATCCCTGGGGTTGATTATCCATGGAAAATGAAGCACATGAGCTACCCTACACGAGCACTTTCAAACATCAATGTTCATAAAGCGTTTGTAAATTATAATTGATAGATTTGGAACTTTGGATTTCTTTCTCAAAACGTGCTCGGTTTGGTCTCCTCTTGATCATCTCTTACTTCGAGATTATGCTGAGGTCTGCTGGGCTACTTTTATTATCTCTCCCTGAACCCCGAACTTTCTTATCCCCTAGTGTTTATTCTCACGGGCATGAGGTTAATACGCTTTGCCGTTTAATCGGGTTGCGAAAGCTCCCCTCCTGACGGAGAACTAGCAGAACACTCATAGCCTCCGCACTTGCAGAAAAGAGTGAGGGGGCGGCGGGGTCGTCGGCAGTCTGCGAAGCTTTGAAGAAACCTGCCGCAGACGCCGACTTTTCGTCAAATCAACGTGGGTGTGTCGCTGGTGGGTCGCGGGTGGGTCGGGTGCGGGTCGTGGATGGGTCGCGGGTGGGCCGCGGGCGGGTCGCGGGTGGGTCGCGGGCGAGGATTAGTGCAAGAACCGGACCAGCCAAGAATCAAAACAATATTTGCCAAGCGTACAGCAACACGCGCCAATCAACGCAACAACAATCCTCACTGCAGAGGCCGACTTCAGGTACGCACTCATGTGTGCAGGCCGGCATATACGTAGACATGTAGACCTGCCGATGTGTAGGTCAGTATGTGTGTGTTGTTACATGTGCGCTTGTCCACATGTAATGAACTTTTATACATTATGTCCGGGTGTATATGTATACGTATCAACTTGCATGTGTTTGACACATTTGGCTGCCTGGAGCCGCTCCGCTCGTGGATCGTTTTGGAGCTTCGCATTGGGTCGCTAGCGGGACTCGTGGGGTCCTCAGGGACCTTTTGGAATCGCGTCGGGGCATGTCGGATCGTTCTTGTGAAGCGTTTTGCACCTGGTTGAGCCGTCTTGGCCATCTCCTGGGGTTCGGAGAGCTTGGAATCTGTGGGTGCCGAATCGGGTCCTCCTGGCTGCTCCTGGGGCCCCAGAGCTTTCAGGGAACCCCATGTCGGGGGGCAGGGGTACCAGAGGGGGTTGGGAAGGACACTGTCGTGGGGTCCCCTGGGGCCTCTTGGAATCGCGTCGAGGCATCCCGGCGCTTTTTGGGGAAGCGTTTGGCGCCGATATGTGCTCCGTCTTGGCCGATTCTTGAGGTTCGGAAAGCTTCCATGGGAGCCCCGCTGGGGAACATGTGGGCGCCGAGTTGGGCCGTCTAGGCTGCTCCTGCGGCCCAGGGAACTTTCAAGGATCCCTGTTTGGGGGGCAGGGGCACCAGAGGGGGGTGGGAGGGACACCGTCGTGGGGTCCCCTGGGGCCTCTTGGAATCGCGTCGGTGCATTTCGCAGCCCTCTGGGGCAGCGTTTGGCGCCAAGCTGTGCCGTTTTGGCCGCTCTTGAGGCTCGGAGAGCTTCCATGGAGACCCGCTCGGAGACTTGTGGGCGCCGAGTTGGGCATTCGAAGCTGTTCCTGAGGGCAGGGACACCAGTATGGGGTGGGAGGGACACCGTCGTGGGGTCCCCTGGGGCCTCTTGGAATCGCGTCAAGGAATCTCGGCGCTCTCTGGGGAAACGTTTGGCGCCGAGTTTGGCCGTCATGGCCGTTCCTGAGGCTCTGAGAGTTTCCAGGGAGCCCCGCCGGGGAACTTGTGGGCGCCGAGTTGGGCCTTCTTTGCTGTTGAGGCCCAGAAGGTTTCCCGGGAGCCCGGTGGGAGGGACACCATCGTGGGGTCCTCCTGGGGCCTCTCGAGGCATCTCGGAGCCCTTTGGGGCAGCGTTTGGCGCCAAGCTGGACCGTCTTGGCCGTCACACGAGGCTCGGAGGGCTTCCATGGAGACCCACTGGGGAACTTGTGGGCGCCGAGTTGGGCCTTCTTGGCTGCTCCTGAGGCCCCAGAGCTTCCAGGGAGCTCTATTTGGCGGGCAGGGGCACCATTGGGTGGGAGGGACACCGTCGTGGGGTCCCCTGGGGCCTCTTGGAATCGCGTCAAGGAATCTCGGCGCTCTCTGGGGAAGCGTTTGGCGCCGAGTTTGGCCGCCTTGGCCGTCTCCTGGGCTAGGAGAGTTTCCAGGGAGTCCCACTGGGGAACTTGTGGGCGCCGAGTTGGGCCTTCTTGGCTGCTCCTGAGGCCCCAGAGCCTCCAGGGAGCTCCGTTTGGGGGGCAGGGGAACCAGGGGGGGTGGGAGGGACACCGTCGTGGGGTCCCCTGGGACCTCTTGGGCTCGCGTCGAGGCATCTCGGAGCCCTCTGGGGCAGCGTTTGGCAGCGTCTTGGCCGTCTCCTGCGGCTCGGAGAGCTTGCATGGAGCCCCGCTGGGGCGCAGGGACACCAGGGAAAGGGAGGGGTCACCAGCGGCCGGGGGCGGCGCGTCTGTTGGCCAGGCCCCCGCCCTTCAGATCTTCAGTTCTCGTTCTGATGGGGTGGCCAAGGGGGCGGGGATCTTAGACGCCTGGAGACACGTCAAGGGTCGGCAGGATTTCTGATGACCATTCGGATGAGTTGAGAAGGTCGCAGTTGCGGGAATTGGCAGTCGCCCTGGCAGATGTCGCCTTGCGTTTATTTCAAGCGGAGCGCAACATCCGAGCAAGTTTGGTACCCGCGCCAGGATGCGTTGCTTCATATCCAGCTGCCTGCGGCAAACCCCGCCACCGTGCCAGCGCAGCAGGAAGGAGGTTGTGTGTAAGACCCGCTCCCTGTGCTCTGTGTGAACTGGCGTGGGTCTTGAGCATCCCCTCCTTGCCTTCCTTCATCCGTCCTGTTCGTGTTCCTTCTCCTTCTTCCCCCAACCTTCAAGCCTTTGGGAGGCTTCCTCGAAGCTTTTGGGGGTCTTGGGGGGTTCTGTGGGCAACCATGAGGAGTCGACCGTCCTGGTGGCTTCTGGGGCTCGCTGACGTTTTTGTTTGCTGTTGCGATTTGCAGCCCGCAAGAATCGGCAACAGAAATACTAGATGCTCCCAAATGTTAATGCTCTTTCTCTGAGGGTCCCGCTGGACTCTTGGTGGCTTCTTGAGGTCATTGCGGGCACCTTGTGGAGATCTTGGAGCTGGTGGGGGCTCGTTGGGCTGTCTTTGGGGTTTTCTTGTGGCCGTTCTGGCGCGGTCTTTGGCCGTCTGGAGGGGCGCTCAGGAGCAAACCAGGGGTTTCGATTTTCCAACTCCGCGTGCGTCGGGGGGGGGGGGGCGGGGTCGGCCTCGGAAAACAATCAGAACTCACGCCAGGCAGCAGACAAAGATTGCAGCTCGCCCCAGCGTGCTGAAGGTACGGCGGCGGACTTCAAGGAGCAGTTGCTCAGCCGCTTCGAGGTGGAGGGCACCTCTCTGAAGGACTGCCGCCCTGCGCCTGCCGAGGCATTCCTTGCTGCGCGTCCGCGGCTGAGAGGCTGGTTGGCTGAGAAGTTGCACCTGGTCGTAGTGCCGGAAGAGGCTCAGCCACGCGCAGAGGGGGGTGGGGGGAGGGGGAGGGCTTCTCAGAAGCACCCCTGCTCCTTAGAAGGCGCGGGCCCTCTCTATAGATGTGAGGCCGACGCCTTCTGAGAAGCAGCCTCCTTCTAAGAAGCCCTCCCCCCTGCCTCCACCCCCTTGTGCGCGCCGCCAAGAGGTGAAGGGGCTTCTCGCTGTTCATGTTGACCCTGCCACTGAGCTGATTCGAGTCCTGACAGGACTCACGGATTTGCCTCATGACCTCGCTGTCTCCGCTATAGAATGGCTGTTCAAAGCTTACGACGATCCCGCTCGTGGCTTCACCCCCGAGATCAAAAGATCGCTCCAGCTGTTGCAGAGAGAGGATGGTACATTTGGGACGTTCGGTTCATATACATGGAGTTGCCCAGGTCCAAAGCGCGAGCTGGTCCATTTTCAGAAGCCCAGCAAGCACGTAGTGAAGGACACAAGGGTGAGCGAGCATTTCGATTCCCGGCTCGGCGTCCTCGACCCGATGAAGCTCAGCGACGTTGCCCTGAGCGTGGATGGCATCGCGGTGGACAAATTTTGGAAGGTGCACGCGGAGGGTGGCTACAAAGATCAGGACCTTTGCGTGCTCGAAGGCAAGATGCATGTGCATGTGAGAACCCGCCACGGGAAAGCGCTAAGAGCGCTGCAGCGGTACGGCGCTGTCTCCACAGCAGATGAACTTGACGCTTTGCTTGCGATCGGTTGTGTGCAGGCCCTTGATCCAGTCCCCGCTCCATATGCCGGCACCGAGACGTTTCATGTTGTCAGGCATTTGAGTGTCCTTCGAGGCAGTATTGATGTTTCGACGGCGACCAGCACTCAAAAGCATAACATATTCCAGCGGTATCTCCTACCAGGCATTGAAGACTCGTCGGCAAGACCCGTGTTGATGGAGTTGCCTATTGTGAAGTGTGGCCGGCAGCATTATGCCCTGAAGAATTGCCGTTTTGTGAATTCCACCAGTCTTGCCCAGAAACTTGAAGATGTCGGTTTACCTGTCCTCAACACGTCCAGCATGTTCAACGATCATCGCGTCGTTTTGCAAGGGCACTTCGCCAAACCAGGTGACATTCTCAGCCACTTTCACAACCAGTTGGCAAATTCTGGGCTCACCGAGCAGTTGGCAGCAGAGATCTTGCTTGAGGCAGCGCGTGCTGCAAGTTCAGATCCTGACCAGCTGAAGTTGGTTGCCAAGTGCAGGATCTTGCGTGAGGGCCGCTGCATGAGCGACTTGTGGCATCCAGGAGATGAGCTTGCCTTCGTTCTGGGCGTGGTGGACCGGTCCATTCAGCAGGCCGTGTCCCAACTTGCAGCAATAACAGATATGGCGCATTGCATGAAAGCATGCTCGAAGCCAGCGGATTTGATGGAGCTCCTGCGGCAGTCAGATCTTCAGCGGCTGCGGGCAGGAGCGTGCGACCGTGTCGCGAATGCGCTTCATGAAGTTCTGCAAGGGATGAGCGAGGAGAGTGTCAAGCAGATCACGTCTGCAGGGTTTCGGTCATTGCCCGTGATCTACGCGAATGGATCTTGGCACAAGAGCGAACAGGTGTACCTGCAATGTTACAAAGACCTCCTTCCAGATTGCAAACCTGTCCTCAATCGTCATTTTAGGCAGACTGCGAGCGCACGGTCACTTTTTGCTGGGAGGCCAGCCGTGGATTTGGTGGCGGAGCATTTGGTGGCCCTGTGCGAGCACCCAGACAGGGTGCATCCCGACCGCAGTGCGTTTCTCAGGATTTACGACTACCTCAATACTGAGTTGAAGACTTCCCAGTCAGCAGCGCCGCAATGTTTGAAGAGTGTCCGGTGCATTCTGGATCAGGAAGGGAAGCTGTTTCTCCCTCGACACTTCGGCCTAGAGTTGCTGATGGACCTGGCTCCGTTCCACATGGTTCCAGAAGATGTGAGGCCATACAAGTACCTGCTAGTGGATCTCGGAGCCAAAGAGAAAGGAGGTGGAGATCCTTTGCCCGATCCCGTACTGCCGACCGAGATATGCGACAAATTGCGCACAGACCTTGAATGCGCAGATATTCAGCTTCAAGCTCGAGATGGTGTGTTGCCAGGCCACCGGTGCATTTGGCATTTCGCTGCAAAAAACCTGGGTAGTTTGTTGCCGCCAGACCAGAACGTGTCCTTGATTCTGCCTTGCTCCATGGCGGCGCTAGCGGCTGTCCGCGATTTCGTGTATACTGGTAGGGTGGACTTTGAGGCCATCTCCAAGTTGACGCCCGCGCATCAACACGAGATGCGCGCTGCAGCCAGGGCGCTCAACATCCCATACCTAGCTGAGTACATGAAGCAATTTCTCGCAGGTGCCCCACCAGATATCGAAGACCCTTATCGTGGCAGTACGGACTTGCCTCAGCATTGGGCCCGTAACATCGGCAATTTGTCTCAGGGATGGCGTCTGGAGAATTTGCAAGATCCTGACTTGCTTGGGATTCTCCAGCAGGTCTTGACGCCCGGGAATCCATCTGACTTGGGGCATGGCCGCGATTGTGGAGGTTGGCCATCGTATCGGCAGCTTAATTCAAGGGGCTTGCGCCATTCTGCCGACTCCCAAAAGAGGAAATGCGCGGCTTTCGATTTCGTATGTGTTGATTGCCGCTTCCGTCCGTCGTGCTGCCTGCGCGTAGTTGTTGCTGATGCGTCTTCCTCTTCCTCCGCGTCTGTCGCAGGGGGGCCTCTTGGAGGCCTAGGGGGCGGCCCTTGGGAGCCTTTTCATTGGATCTGGGGGTTTGGGGCGACTTGGGGGCCTCTTGGAGGCATTTCGGGGGTCTTGGGGGCCATCTTGCGGGCGGGGGCTCCCGGGGTTTCTGTGAGTTCCCTCTCTCGGGCCTTTCTTGGGCCCCTCTTGGGGCTTTGCTCAGGGCCTGTTTGGCCGTCTTGGGGGCCTCTTGGGCTGTTTCAGGGCCCTCTTGGGCCGTCTCCTGGCGTTCTTTAGGGAGCCTTGCCCGTCTTGGGCCATCTTGGGCCCGTGTGGGGGGCGTCTCGGGACGTCTCGGATTTCAGAAGCCCGAACAGGCGAGGACGAGACAACAATGGTTTTTTTCCCTCTTGAGTCCCTCATGGGGTTCCTCTTGGGGCATCTTGGGGGCGTCTTCAGGCCATCCCGGATGTTTTTGAGGCCCCCCCCCCCTGGCGTGTCGGAACCTTTCTGGAGCCATCTCAGAAGGAATCGTGGGCATCTTGGCGGCCAAGGGGGATGGATTCGGAGGCTCCGACGGCCCCCCTCCCTGGGGCGCCGTCCCTTAATATGGAGTTTGGGCCCCAAGGGAGAAGGGTGTGGGGGGCAGCCAACTCTCTCGCACGCCTTTTACCCCAAGCAAGCGGGGGTCGGCAGAGTTATGCTTGGCCTGGCGCATCGAGCACGAGGGATTGTGGTGGAAGTACCGCGCTGAGCGTGACACCCTGAAGAAATTGCGGAAGAACTCATTGAATAATCTGCCACCAGTTAGGTTACGCCAAGCGCATTTCAGGGCTACCAAGCAACTTCCAGGAGACAAGCTCCACCAGGATGTCAACGAGGTTTTCTTGCTACATGGTACCAAGCCTGATTCTCTACTGGCGATTCTACAGAACGGCCTGAACGAGCGCTTCTCCTCGGGCCTGTTCGGACGAGGCTCGTACATGGCAGAGGATCCCGCGAAATGCGACCAGTATTGCACTGTGGACGGCCAGTACAAACCATCTGAAGATCTACACAGGAGGTTGTTTCGGGATGGTGTGCGGCATCCTGGCGATCTCTTCTACATGATCGTCTGTCGGACCTCATTGGGCTGGGCGGTCAAGACCAAGGACAACGAGGTTGCTATCGGTGGCGGGTCTGTATGGGCCACGCGAGACTGCCGAGAACTGGCGACCATCCCCAAACAGAGCAATCCCATAAACTATCACGCCCTGATCGCTGAGGTTGGTGGGAAAGTGCACCGGTTTCGCGAGTTTGTGCAGACGCATAGCGATCGCATATACCCTGAGTACCTTCTGGCATACCAGCGGCGTTGATGCCTTCGGCTTGCCACAGTCGCGCGTAGCCAATGTGGCGTGGAATTTGGGCCTTGGCTCCAGGCGTCGCAGGCGGCTGCCAAAAAGTAGCCGGCTGCCGCGACTGGCCACAAGCACACGCGTGCTTCGTTGGGTCCCCCGTTCGCCAAAGTTTGAAAGGCGGGCTTCGTAGGAGTACACATCTTTCCTTTCGATGTTTCCAGGAGGGGTTAGATCTTGAGCGTATCTTATGCTGACTTCTGATTCTGCTGCGTTCCTGCACTAATCGCCGGAACAGGTTCGAAACGAACGATGTGTATGCTTCAGGTGGAGCTGCAATGCGGCTTTTGATGTAGGAACGACTGCAAATCATGCGTCATCGGCTTATGCCTTATGACGTGCGCCCACCACGTATGTGGACGGCCAACACATGCCGTTTGAATCTCTGCATCTGAGGTTAGTTCGGGATGTCGTTCGGCATCCTGGAAATCTCTTCTATCTGATCGTCTGCCGCATCACAGATGGGTTGGGTGGTGCGACCGATGTTGGGCTGGCGTGGTCCACACCTTGATTGCTGAGGTGGGTTGGCGAGCGTGCCGGCATCGCGAGTCGCTGTAGAGGGACAGCGAGCGAGAGTACCCTCTGGCGTACTGTCAACCCGCATAGTAAGGATGAGCAATTTCCAAGGTTTCCTTTGCATCCTTCCCCTTCGGCCCATCCCTGGCCGCTTTCGCTGGCTGCGCCCCGCTCGCAAAGTGTCCTTCCAAGGCCCTTGCATCCTTATCGTGCATCTTTATCATACGGGTGAACTGTATCAGTGGAGTTGACGCCGTTGACTTGCCACACAGTCGCGCGCAGCGAATGTGGCGTGGAATGTGGGCTTTGGCTCCAGGCGTTGCAGGCGGCTGCCAAAGTGTAGGCGGCCATCGCGACCGACTTACCTCTAAGCGCACGTGTGCTGCGCTGGGTCCCCGTTCGCCTCAGTTTAAAAGGCGGGCTTCGTAGGAGTACACATCTTTCATGTCGTGTTCTCATTTGGGAGATTGGATCTTTACTTTCACTTCCAGTTGTGTGTTCTCCGACCTTTGGTAGCCATCGCAGGGCTGGGGGCCACCAGGAACGAGCAAATTTAGAAACAGCCGTTTTCAGAAATGATCGATGTGTATGCATGATTTTCCATGTGCATGTGTGTTTGATTTTAGAGCGATGGAAAAGATGCGCCATCGGCTTCTCATTCTCCCTTGCCATCTCCCTCTCTCTGTCTCTCTGTCACTCTTTTTCTCTGTCTCTCTGTCTCTACTTTTCCCTCTCTCTCTCTCTCTTTCTCTTTTTTTTGTTTTTAATTTTCCTCTTTCTATAGACAGACACATAGAATTGACATTATGGCTATATGTTTTCTCGTGCTCCCTCCCTCTCTCTCTCTCTCTCCCTTACCCCGCTCGATTGTGATCTTATGGTCGGCGCACTGCCCCGTGCCATCCTTGTCCACTAGCCCCCCGGCGGCCTTCTTCCTCGCTGGTTCCGTCTCTGCGGGACAGGAAAATGACCACAGCCACTGCTTCTTGTTTGCGCCGCCTTTCACCCGGCCGAAAAAGAAGCAGTGGTTGTGGTCATTTCCTTGGTGCCTTAACGAAAATGACCACAACCACTGCTTCGTTTCTGCTGGCTGGAAGGCGGCAACAAAAGAAATGCAGTGGCTGTGGTCGTTTTTGCGTCCCGCAGTCTCTGCCCCTCCGACACCATGTTTGGTTCAAGATGGGGTTTCCGGATCTCTCGACCCCTCCACCGGGGGCCAGCCCACTGCGAAGCTCCCAGAGCCCGAAACGGTTGAAACGGGTCTCCGGAGGCCGAAAGAGGGGAGAGACGCTGGGACCGAACGACTCGCGAGGTCGGAGATCCAGGGGGCACGTTCGCGAAGGGGTGCGGTGCGGGGCTTGCTGCCGCCCCCTTCGCCCCGGCGCGGCCCTCTGCGCTCGGGAGGCTCCCCTCCTGGCTGGTCCCAGGAACGATGCGTTGCAGCGCGGGGTGGAATTCACAGGGTCCCAGAGGTGGTTTAGCGTATCAGGTGCGTTTGTGGTCCATCGGGCGGGGCCGCCGCCGTTCCCGCCCTCCCTGCACCCGGTCTTTTCCTCTGCTGGCCCGTGGGCGGCCGGCTTGGCGCGGGAAGGGATCACTCAGAAAGCAGAGCCGTCTGCGTTCAGGGGGACGCCGCATCCGGCTGGTCGCTGCTGCGCAAGGGGTGGGTCGCCCTCCGAGTCGCCGCATCCGGCTCTCTTCGGTGTGAGGGGCTTCTCGCCCTTGTCTGGCCAGGGCGAAGCCGTGGGGCCCCACCTGCCGAGCTGCCTGGGAGACGGCTGCGTCGGACATGTGGCCTGGAGGCGGTGCTTCGTTGAGCCGCCAGCGGGGCGAGTCGAGGAAGGGGCCTCTAGTCAGACGATCGCTGACACCGAGCCATGGGACCACCAAGCTCATCGAAGGGGGGCGCCAGCTATACACCTATACCCATCCTGGCAAGTTCTCGGCCCGAGATCGACG